AACAATAAAGTTTTTATAAAAAACAAGACATTTGATACACCATTTTTCCTCTACAAAAAAAATTGTGTGCCATAAAGGATGGAAATTTGAAATCTGTAATAGAATCAATTGCACTTGTATCAGTTTTTGTTTGAATTGTACAGTGAAACACTGGTACATTCCCAGTAGTGTTAGCATTATCTGGATAGTAAAATCAGGGTAAAAAACCAACATGATGATCTGATGAACTGTTTAATTCATAGAGAGCAGTCTCAGAAGATGCCTTCCAATGGAATTCTCTCAGGATTCTGGATAATCCTAAAAGAACCCTAGGACATGGATTTGGTTCTTATTAGTTCCTGCACAGTAAAACTTACTTACTATTCAGAAACTCTAGAACTTCCATTCCATTTGAGATTTCCTGAGGCCACAGTACTGACCCAGACTTCTGAAAGGCTCTACTATCTATCTATCTATCTGTCTATCTGTCTATTTATCTATTTTGATTTTTTTAGAGAGAAAGAGCATGTGAGTGGAGGGGTAGAGGGAGAGGGAGAATCTTAAGCAGGCTCCATGCTCAGCACAGAGCCCAACCAAGGGCTTGATCTCACAACTCTGAGATCATGATCTGAGCCGAAACCAAGAGTCAAACGCTTAACCAACTGAGCTACCCAGGTAGGTATCCCCCCCCTCCTTTTTTAAGGCTGTACTTTTGAAGCAGTGTGATCTCCCACCAAGAAACTGAGATTGACGTGGATCCATGCCTTTCAGTTAACCACTCCTGATGAGAACTTTGTTTCTTGCCTGGAAAGCCTTACTCTTTCATGATTGACCAGGAGCTCTGTGGGATCCTCACATTCCCAACACCACCACATGTAGACCCTGATAAGACTATCTTAGAGGCATCATTGGTCTCATAAATGTAGGCAAAGTCTCCAGGAATATTCTTCTACCCCTCCCCACAATTTAAGCAAGCAAGCAGAGTTGGGCAGAAACATCTAGGATTAAAGTGTCAGGAAGTTACGGTGGTTGCATTTGAAACTTGAGACTCCAGAAGCTGCAAATGTAGAAGTGACAGGACTGCAGTGGGGTAGGGTGGGGGGGCGGGTAGCTGTCAGGACAAGGCTTGGACCAGCAGGCAGCAGAATGGGGCAGGATAGTTCTGAAGCCAGATTTTTTTTTTAAACCAACAATATTGTAAGGCTATTGGACCAGCAGGGAAGTAGTATTTTGGGTCTGGGACTTCTCATATAACCCTCAAGAGGGTAAAGTGGTCCAGAGTCTGTGATACAAAACTATTAAAAGTTCAAATCAATAACGGGTGCAGTTAGGAATGAGCATACTACTCAGGAATGAAAGACTGTTTAGAGAGAACAAATGGAACTTGTAGAAAAGAAAAGCTAGTTATTGATATAAAATGTAAAGTTAACAGATCAGAAACAGGTAAAAGGGGTTTGTGAACCGAACAAAAGGAAAAACTACACCTAGACATATCTTAATGAAGCTGCAGAAAACCAAAAAAAGATCTTGAAATCAGCCAGAGAGGAAGTGCACGTCATCAAAGGAACAGTAGAATGACAGAATTCTCAATGGCAAAACAGATAACGTCTTAAAGTGTTTGCACAGCTGTTATTATCCTAGAATTTGTGCTTATTAGCAAGACGCTCAGTAATAAGGACAAAATACAGACGTCTGTTGCTAAATAAAAGCCAAGAACATCTTACACCATGAAACTTGCTCTAAGCTAGGGGTTTACAACTGAGGACAGTTTTGTCCCCCAGGGGATATTTAGGAATGTTTGAAGACTTTTTGATTGTCACTACTGGAGATGCTACTGGCAGCTAGTTACTAGCAGCTAGGGACACTCTTAAACAGCCTACAGTGCACTGGATATCCTCCACAACAAATAGTTATGTGCTGAGTTTGAGAAACTCCTCTAATGGAATTCTCAAGAAGATACCTCAAGTAAAGGCGAAATGATCCCAGAAGACTAGTGCTCTGAAATGCAACAAAAATATTGAACAAATAGAACTGTAAACGTGGACCTTCACCCAAGTCAGTGTTGTCTCTGTGAAATATTTTTACTATCTTACTTGTGTATTAAAATAAGCTGCTAGAAATATTGGACAGAACAGTAATATGTAAATCAGAGGAGAGAACAAAGTGTTTGAAAGTCTTTGTTATTGTTTGGGAGGATGACTGTTTTTTAAATTCACTTAACAGTTTGGGATTTTTTGGTTTTTAAGATTTTATCTAATTATTTGAGAGAGGGGGAGAGAGAGAGCGAGATCATGGGAGGGGGTGGGATGGAGGAAGAAGCAGCCTACCCCCGCTGAGCAGGAAGCCGCATGTGGGACTCGACCCCAAGACCCTGGAATGATGACCTGGGCCAAAGGCAGACACTTAACCGGCTGAGCCACCCAGGTGCCCCTTTATAGTTTAAGTAAAATATGTGGAAAATTTCAAAAGTAATTACTGAAAGAATAGATAGAATGTGGAAACTCCAAAAGAGGAAAGAGAACAAATGGAATAAGGGAAAAATAAACCAAAAATCCAGAGAGAAGAAATGAGAATGAATCCTAAAGAAAAAAGACCAAATGGAAATTTTAAAATGGTAGAATCCAATCTAAACATATAAATTGCTGTGTTTGATGGACTGAACTTGACAATTAAAAAGACAGATCATCAGGTTTTTAAAAATACAACTATCTGCTATTTACAAGAGTTGTACCCAAAACATAAGGACCCAGAAAAAATGGACAGTTGAAAGACAGAGAAGGACGTTGAACCAAAGGACAGCTGTATAGTTATTGTCATACTTTCTATTGTCTTAAGAGTTTATTCTGCTCTCCCTCTAGCTTGCTAAAATAGGTACTTATCTCAAATAATTTTTATTTTTACTTTGCTAATGTAAAACTAGGACAATAGCTTCTCATTGAAGTGCTACTTTTGGTGGATCCTACAAGTTTCAATAGCTAATTTCTTTGTTGTCATTTTATTTTTTTAAGTATTTTAATCTTGGATCCTTGTGTTGTTTTACAACACTGAGCCATGCCTATATTGCTAGCCCACATAAACTGGGTGATAAAATGTGTGCGTTTAAGCCACTAAATTTGGGAGTAATTTATTATACAGAAAGATAACTATAAACCATGGATGTATATTTAAAATACTTTCTTAGGGGACCTGGGTGGCTCAGTAGGTTAAGCATCTGACTCTTGATTTCTGCTCAGGTCGTGATCTCAGGGTCGTGAGATGGAGCCCTACTTTGGATTCTCCCTCTTCCTCTCCCTCTGCCCTTCTCCCTGTCTCACACACTTGCTTGCTCGTTTCTCTCTCTCTCAAAAAAAAAATATATATATATATAAACTGCTTTCTTGGTGAATTCAACCTTTTGTTACGTGGTTACCTTTTCATTCAGAATAAAGTTCTCCCCTTAAAGAAATATTTATCTGGTGCTAATAAAACCATATCAGTTTTTTCTGTTGTTGTTGTTAGTATGTGCCTGATCTCTTTACTTTCAGCCTTTGTGTGTCATTATATGTCACTTGTAAACAGTATATGCCTGGATTTTGTTGTTAGTAGTTTAAAATTGGCATGTGTGAACATTTACACTGTGGAAATTGGCTAACACTGTAAATTGGTTTTGTATGTGTGGTGTGTGTTTTAACTGTCTTTTGTGACTTCACTATACACAGTGAAAGCGACGTCTTTAAATGCATTGTCTACTGCTATATCCCCAGGACCTAGAGTGCCCAGCCCATCATAAGAACTTAATAAATGTGTGGTGAATTAATTGAATAAATGTCTACCCACTGATGATACAAAATGGAATATTACTCAACCATAAAAAAAGAAACCTTGCCATTTGCTATGATATGGCTAGAGCTAGACTACATTGTACTAAATGAAATAAGTCAGTCAGAGAAAGACAAGTACCATATGACTTCACTCATGTGTGGAACTTAAGAAACAAAACAGATGACATGATCCAATTATTTTGATAGCTTGTTGGCTATTTCCCAAACTTGTATTTAAGGTTATAAGACTTTAATTTCTTTAACTTTTATATTTATGTTTATTTCCTGAATACTTAAAGTGTTAGTTCTTAATTACATTTACATAATTTTTTATTTTCCCTTTCCCTCTATAAGGTAATTATAATTATATATAACTCTTACACAACAAAAACCCAAAGCTAAGGAAGTAGTCATGCAGACTCTATTGTCTGAGGGAACCCACTCTTTTTTTTTCTTCGTAGTTGGTTCACCAGATTCTTCTGGGGTACCTCTTTTTTTTTTTTTAAGATTTTATTTATTTATTTGACAGAGAGACAGAGAGGTAACACAAGCAGGGGGAGCGGGAGAGGGAGAAGCAGGCTTCCCACTGAGCAGGGAGCCTGATGTGGGGCTCGATCCCTGGACTCTGGGATCATGACCCAAGCCGAAGGCAGACGCTTGACAACTGAGCCACCCAGGTGCCCTGGGGTACCTCTTTTAACATAAAACAACAACAACAAAACATGTTTTGTTGTACAAAAATAATGCTTGGTTATGTGACCTAATGTTTTTTTTTTTTAACCTAATGTCGGCTTATAAAAGGCTGGACAGCCCTGGAGGTAGAGGGGCTTTTCTATCATTATCAATAGCAGCAGTGTATAAGCAGTGTATAAAGTGTATAGTAATACACTGAGTAAGAACTCAAGAAGCACTTTTTTTAAAAATTTTATTCTAGATTTGAGTGACTTTGGGAGTAGAGCCCTAGATAGACTAGAATCCTGAAAGAATAGTGTTTCCAGAGGTCTTCATGCTGTTAAGCCTTCCTATTGTTTGCCTCTTAGAGATTTAATTTTGCTCCTGTTTTAGAGGGGGCCGCATTCTCTAAACCTGGCTAATTCAGTTCTCCCTAAAATTTGAACATGAAAATGGATTCTGTCATTAGAGAGGCACATGAGGTTATTTGGTGCTGATACTTCTTTAATACCAATGCGAAACTAACTTAATTTCTTTTTTTTTTTCCAGATGATGGGCATAAGAAAGCTCGAAATGCTTATCTCAATAATTCCAACTATGAAGAAGGAGATGAATATTTTGATAAAAATTTGGCCCTCTTTGAGGTAATATTTGAGAGAAAACTATGGCAGAAATTTCAGGAACAAAGATACCAAGATAACTGTTTTCTGTCCCATTTAGTTTTAAAACAATACAGGCTGGATAATTTTAAGAACTAATTGTTAAAATATAATACTTACTATAACTTGTCATTATAGTTGGCTTACTCTGTATAATCTAATTATCACTAGCTAATAAGTAGCCATTAAATCAGATTTCTGTGAATTGAGGTAGAATTTTGACATCACAGGCATATGGAGAACCTTGCTGTCTAATTCAGCTAGGATTTAAATACTTGCACTGGAATTATTTATGAAGTATAAAGTAGAGTATTTTTCAACTCTGTGTTTGGGAAGCCCATCATTTACCTTAGAACTACTGATCAAAAATCAATGTAGGAAATAGGTTACTCGTTTAAGAAGGCCTATATGTCTTCCTTAAGACCATAGGGACTCTGATGGGCTCTGCATTCGGGTTGTTGAGAGGAGCCTGCTTTAGTTCAGCACTGCCTTTGTGTCTAGCTTTGGACAATGATATGACTTCCAGTTCTCTCAGTGTACCTGTTTTTTAAATGATATCCTCTTTCAGCTTTGTTTAAGAAAAGATTTGAGGTGAATATTTAGTTCAGGCACAAAAACTTTTTATTGAGCTGTCTGTGCTTGGTGCAATAAGTAATAGTCATAAATGTTATTAGAATGTTAGTAGCCAAGGGGTGCCAGGGTGGCTCTTGCCCTCAGCTCAGGTCTTGATCTCAGGGTCATGATTTCAAGCCCCACATTGGGCTCCATGCTGGGTGTGGAGCCTACTTAAAAAAAAAAATGTTAATAGCCTAAAGAAAGGGGCACTGTAGTTAAAGGTAGTATCATCAATGTTTTTTTCAAGGTTACAGCTATCTGTAGGGGCCAATGTGATTTTGTTTTTACTGTAAAGTTAAGTCATTAGAAAGAGTGATAAAGCTTTTCACTTAAAATTTGTATAGTCCTGATTAAGTGATATCTTAATGTGGGAGGAGAATAATGCCTTATTTATAAATTTTCTTAAAATATTTACCTGTGAAATATTTTCTCATTTAATTTGCAACTTTTTGGTAGAGGTCCACTTTGATGCTTATTTCCAGTGTTCTTTATTACTCATTTCTTCCATGTTTCTGGCTTTATAGGAAGAAATGGATACCAGACCAAAGGTATCTTCTCTTCTCAACCGTATGGCCAATTATACTAATCTGACACAAGGAGCAAAGGAACATGAAGAGGCAGAGAACATCACTGAAGGGAAAAAGAAGCCCACCAAGGTGAGACCTACAAAAAACAAGGATAAATAAAAAGAGTCCCACATACAAGAAAGGAAGAAATATCCAGGTCATCACTCCATGCTCAAAAACTATTGAATACTTGATATATGACAGGCACTGTTCTGAGCAGTGGGGTGGTCATAGAGAAACAGAACATATAATGTCCTATTCTCATGCAGTCTAAATTCTAGTACAAGGAGATAGTTATTAAACTATGTATTATGTGTTGACGATGGTCTAACAAAAATAAAGGCAAGGACAGATGGTAGCTACACTTGTGATGAGCATAGCATAACATATGCAAAGACTTGTCAAATCACTTTGTAGTACACCTGGAACTAATGTAACATCTTGTGTTAACTTGAGGAATGAATTGATTTTTTTTTTTTAAAAAAGGCAAGGTAAAGATACTGAAACTGGCCAGCAAAGAAAGCCAGGGTAGAAGTTGTTACTGTTGTAGAGAGGTTGGCCAGGGAAAGCCCTTTCTGACAGGGTGATGTTTGTGCAGAGGCCTAACCAATGTGAGGCAGTGAGCCCCCCAGTTGGGAGAAGAGCATTCCAGGAAGAGGGAATAGCACTTTCAGAAGAAGAGGGTTCACACCCACCTGCTGATGCCATCTCTCTTTTGTCAGGTGATTGGGTTTTTCAAAAATTAAGTTTCAGGATTTCTCAAAAAGAAAATATGGAACAATATTACAAGTTAGCTTTCTGGTTGTTCAGGAATAAAATGACTCTCAGATCTTCATTTTACCAGCTGCATTTACCAGCTACCATGAAGGACTTTTGCCAAAATCTGAAAGAAGTCCATCAAATCATTATTCAATTTTTAAATGGAAAAGGAAAGCTAGACGCACCTGGCTGACTCAGTCAGTGGAGTGTGCAACTCTTGATCTCAGTGTTGTGAGTTTGAGCCCCATGTTGGCTGTAGAGATTACTTAAAAATAAAATCTCTAAAAAAAAGAAAAGAAAAGAGAAACCAATAGTTTCAAAGAACAGTACATTTTAAATTTGGGGGGGTACGCTTAAAAGTTTGTGGTCAAATGCCCATGTAAAAGCATATGTGTAAAGTAAAAATGTATAGCTCTAGGAATATTAAAAAGTTGGTGATCATTTGTAAGATGGAGATTTTATATGTGCCTCTTTTAAGATATTGATTATACCTAATTATCTCTTTTGTAAGTAATATAGTAGTTAGGGAATAAGTTTTTATATACAAATAAGAGGATAAAGCATCTTTTCTAGATGACTGTATAATTTTTCTTTTGTCAACATCTTTCTTTTCAGACCCCTCAAATGGGTACTTTCATGGGTGTCTACCTCCCGTGCCTACAAAATATTTTTGGAGTGATCTTGTTTCTACGCCTTACATGGGTCGTGGGCACGGCTGGAGTTCTTCAGGCCTTTGCAATTGTCCTTATCTGCTGCTGCTGTGTAAGTCCCTAGTTGGCTCTTAGAGATTACCTAGATCCTAGAGATCATTCCTAGAGTGATCTTGGAGGAGCTCAAGATTATATGCACTTGACCTCTTTGAGAATAACACAAAGACTAGTAGGAAAAGACTCATGATCTCAACAGGAGAGAGTATTTTGATATTAAAGTCTGAAGGATTTTCATTTATTTAGTGTCTCCTCTTTGCTGCTTATATGCATAGTATGATGTACTGGAAATTACAAAGGAAGACTTGTAGAGGAGGTAGAAGATATAGTCCTTGATTCAAAGAATTCAGAATACAAACCATTTGAGTTTGATAGCACCAAAGTTAGAAAATGATGTACTACTCCAATATAGTATTAAGGAAGAACACTGATTGTTGTTTGAGGTGAGGAGTATTTCTTTTGTTTGAAGTCTCATCTTACCCCTTCCTCAGAAATTCAGATGTGGTTTCCAGGTCTTCTTCCCCACTGTACTGAGAACATTCTGATCTTGAATTTAAACTCCTCTTATCCACATATCCCAGCCACATCTATCCATTTTATTATAAGTTGGTTATTATTAAAAAATTATTTTTTATTCAACTGTTGGCCTCTTTAATTACCATCATTATTATATCCTCCTCATGCATTATGCTCAGCTGGGTGCTATATAAAGCGGGATGAGAAGATACAGTTTGTATCATTAATAACTCAAAATTAATAGTACCATTGTTTTTTTTTGTTTTTTTTTTTTACTTTTTCTTAGTCTTAAAACTTCAGGGCCATGTTTGGCTCCTTGATTACCTCTCACATCTATTCAGCTACCAAGGTTGATCAAGTCTCCCTCTGGAATCTCTTACATACAACCCTTCCTTTATATTCCTGTTACTAGCACTACAGTCCTTAATTTTCACTGAACTATAATAGCCTAGTAACAAGTCACTACGCCTTCATCTGCTCCCTATCTGCAGTCCATTTTATACTCTGCTGCTACCAGGTAATGTTTTCAAAATACAGTTTTTATTAGTTCAGAAGTCTTCAGTGGTTCCCCTCCTTACTGAATATTGTTCTTCTAATTATAGCTAGTCCTTAGTTAGTTTCTGATCTGTTTTCCAAGTTAACTGGGAAACCAGGGTGAGATCAGTGGCTCCTATTAGCACCTAACCTATTGCTTACGATACAGAAGCATTTTAAGAGAATATTCAAGATAACAGTAATGTGATGAGGGCAATGAGTTGAACCACATCATCTCATTTCCGTACTATTAGGAATGGCAGCCAACTCCCTTCATAAAGGTAAGTAAGAGTTAATTTTTCAGAAAGTGCTCTGAGACCCACAGGCAGGAAAATAGTAGAGAAATACAGTAACAATCTTCTCCTTTCACCCTAGGACCCAGCAATCACACTGCTGGGTATTTACCCTAAAGATATAAATGTAGTGATCTAAAGGGGCACGTGCATCCAAGGTTTATAGCAGCAATGTCCACAATAGCCAAACTGTGGAAAGAGCCCAGGTGTCCATTGACAGATTAATGGATAAAGAAGATGTGGTATATATATACAATGGAATATCATGCAGCCATCGAAAAACCCAAAATCTTGACATTTGCCATGACGTGGATGGAATTAGAGGGTATTATGCTAAGCAAAATAAGTAAATCAGAGAAAGACAAGTATTATACATGTCACTGATATGAGGAATTTGAGAAACAAGATAGTGGACCATAGGGGAAGGGAAGGAAAAATGAAACAAGACGAAACCAGAGAGGGCTCCTTAAACCATAAGAGACTCTTAATCTCAGGAAACAAACTGAGGGTCGCTGGAGGGTAGGGAGGTAAGAGGGATAGTGTGACTGGGTGATGGACATTGGGGAGAGTATGTGCTATGATGAGCACTGTGAATTGTGTAAGACTGATGTACCTGTACCCCTGAAACAAATAATACATTATGTGTTAATTTTTTTAAAATCTCCTTTCACTTCCTTTACAGACAATGTTGACTGCTATCTCCATGAGTGCCATTGCCACTAATGGAGTGGTGCCAGGTCAGTAGGCTAAGATGGGATTTCAGGGATTGTCAATGACTATATGTTTATGCTATAAAAACTGTTTATGTTTATGCTATAAAGTCAGAGGTGCAAACTTCCGAGGACTAGAATACTATTTAGTCTCTTGGTCATAGACATTCACACTTTGACTTCAGAATACATTCTTTAAAAATCTCTTTATGTTGTAAAGGGGAATATAAACTGGTGCAGCCGCTTCGGAAAAGAGCATGGAGGTTCCTCAAAAAATTAAAGATAGAAATCCATACAGTCCAGTAATTTCACTGCTGGGTATTTATCTGAAGAAGAAAAATAGTAATTCAAAAAGATAGATGCACCTCTCTAGTTTTTGCTGCATTATTTATAATAACCTAGATATGGAAGCAACCTAAGTGCCCATCAGTAGATGAAGATGTGGAGACAGTCTCTCTCTCTCTCTCTCTCTCACCAGAATATTATTCAACCATAAAAAAGAACAAAATCTTGCCAAACACAGGTGGACCTTATTTCACTTTACGCAAGTGAAATAAGACGGAGAAAGACAAATACCATATGATTTTACTTATATGTGGAATCCAAAAAAATAAATGAACGAAAACCAGACTCATGAATAACAAACTGGTGGTTGTCAAAGAGGAGGGGAATGGAAGAATGGGCAAAATATGTGAGAGGGAATAAGAGGTACATACTTCTAGTAATAAAATAAGTCACAGGGATGAAAAGGATAGCATGGGGAATACATTCAGTCGTATTATAATAACATTGTGTGGTGTGCGCAACGTACAGAATCGTCAGATCACGGTGTTGTACACTTGAAACCAATACACCATTTATGTCAAGTATACTTGAATGAAAAGAAAAAGGAAAAATCTCTGTTCTAAGCTAGAGTCCTTAGTTCGTGTAGCCTTCCTAGCTCTTCTTAGAATATATTTTATTGGGCTGTCTCCTGCCTGCAGTAAATGATCTCTGATGTTTACCTAAGCAATACTGACAAGTGGTGCTACTTCATGTGGAGCATTGGATGTGCAGCATATTCTACCATAATGGTTTTATTTTTAACTTCCCATTAGCAAATCTACTTTTTATTACAGAGTTAAAAAAAAAAACTTGAAACATTTATCCTTCTTATTTAGGACCTGTTTGCATTCTTCTTACTGATGTACTTTCTTTATCCTGCTTACATTCTGTTTTGTCTTTTAGCTGGGGGCTCATACTTTATGATTTCCCGGGCACTGGGCCCAGAGTTTGGTGGGGCTGTTGGCCTCTGCTTTTATCTTGGTACCACATTTGCAGCTGCTATGTATATCCTTGGTGCCATTGAAATTTTTCTGGTGAGTAATGACTTAATTGTGGTCTGCAGTATAGAAAAGATAGAGATTTGGATTTATTTTGTTGTTTGGTAGCAAAACATCTGAGAGATCCACTTACAGAATCGATCAAGTGATTGACTGTTGACCTGTTACTGACTTCCTCTTGTGAACATAAGTCAGAAAGGTTGAGAGTATCATTTGCCTGCCTACTGCTTCCCTTCCACCCATTTACCAACACCCTACCATTTCATCCATCAAGTTAAAGTCTTGAGGCAAGACTTGCACTAATAGGGAAAAAGTAAAAGTTTTTATCTTTTTTGATATCTTCATCCCAATTAAATAAAATGTTTTTCATTTCTTTATTCACTGGAATTTTTTTTTTACCATTTAAAATAATCATAGGTAAGTAGGAATAGCGAGGTAGGACTCAAGATAATCTTAATTATTTTATATAACCCTTTGAATAGATTACTAGAGCTTTTTTTGCTGTTTCCATTTGGAAATGTAGGTATTCAGAATAGCATGTAGACTTAAAAAAAAAAGATAAATGAGGGACACCTGGGTGGCTCAGTGGGTTAAGCCTCTGCCTTTGGCTCAGGTCATGGTCCCAGGTTCCTGGGATCGAGCCCCGAATCGGGCTCTCTGCTCATTGGGGATACTGCTTCCCCCTCTCTCTCTGCCTACTTGTGATATCTTATCTGTCAAATAAATAAATAAAATCTTTAAAAAAGAAAAAGATAAATGATATCCAGTTTCTGTAGGAATTAGGTTAAGTCTCCAGTCATTTTCTGTCTTAGCTTTGCTTTCCTCTGTGAAAACAAAACTACAACAGCCCTTTTACTTGATGACTTTGAAATGACCTCATTTTCTACTTCTTTTGCTTAACAGGTATACATTGTCCCCCGAGCGGCCATCTTTCGTAGTGATGATGCACTCAAGGAATCAGCAGCCATGCTCAATAACATGCGTGTCTATGGCACAGCCTTCTTGGTCCTCATGGTATTGGTGGTGTTCATCGGTGTACGCTACGTGAACAAGTTTGCCTCACTTTTCCTGGCCTGTGTCATTGTGTCCATCTTGGCCATCTATGCTGGAGCTATCAAGTCTTCTTTTGCCCCTCCACATTTCCCGTACGTGTCTGTCTCTCTGGCCAGCCATCGTTTACTGGGTAGTCATTGACAATATCTGGTGATGCAATCACTTAGAGTACAATTTCAGTCTCTTGGAGATTTTGCTCGTGGGTCAGCTCAGTTAGTGTCTAGGCAGGAAGCCTCCCAGCAAACTTCTCATGTTGATCCTCTTCCTAATGTCCTAAGCATAGAACTGGCAACTCTGAACATCATTTGGATATAGATATGATATAGATACTAGGTTTTTCTCAAAACCTCCTTATAGTGATTGTGCATATTTGGACAACTATTCATGAAGAGCTTTATGATAGTATAGTTATTACCAGCAAGCTTTGTAAAGTACTTAAATGTTGGACTCCTGTTATTAATATCAAGAGAATCAAAGAAATCTAAACTCCTACCTTAATATTTGTAGTGAATTAAACTTTTTAGCCTGCTGTGAATACCATAGCAGACTTTCTAGTCATAAAGTAAAGAGAAATAAATGTTACGTTGTTTGCATATGTATCTCTATATAAAGATTATATGATACCATATACATAGTGCATAAGTAGTGCAGGTACATTAAAGTGTATTTTTTGAAGTATTGTAATGGATTTGTACAGCTAGGTAACTCTCCAGTCACCTGTTCTCTATTTGACTAGTGGCATAGAGATTGGTTAGCACTGAATTGTGTTTGTAATCTTGTTACAGAAATTGTCTTTGAAAAGTCATCTGGATTATCTAGGTATCAGACTCCTTGCTCCTGTGTTGATTTAACCTGATTACAGAAAAATAGTTTTTTTTTAGATGAAAAACATCTTTAGAGATTAAATGATTTGCCCCAAAGTTAATTCATGGCAGAGAAAGAACATGAACCCTTTGATTTCCTAACTCCTGGTCCATTATTTCTTCTACTGTACTAAATGATGTTAGTGATAGATTCCATCTTCAATTTTTAGTCTGCTCATTTAGGGACTGCAAATTAGCTGGAAGTTTTGAAAGCTATATTCTGGATATTTTAACTTGAGAAATTCCATTTTGCCTCAAGTTCTCCTTTGATGCTTCTCCTTTTTGGTGGGAGAAAGGTCATGATGTGTGGTATTTTCTTTAAAATATTGACCAGAAGAAGACCAAATTCCCTAGAGGAATGCATGAAACAAGCCTGGGAAATGTTGAGTTGTTGAAGCTGAGTAATGGGTATATGGTTCATTATGTATGTATGCTATCATTTTTGCAGATTTAAAAAGTCGCTTTGTACCTCTTGAGAGTTACTTTAACTGTGGGTGTATTATTCTTTTGTTCATATTTATAGCCCTGGGTTAAAGGAAAAAATAAAATCAGCAGTTATTATTTGTAATGTCCTTAAATACCCTCACTCCCACTGGGTCTAGGCTCATGTTCAAAAATAGTTTTCTCTTAGGCCATAGTGGGATGTGCTTTTTATTCCAGCCAAGCTGTCTTTCTTGTAACAGTAGCCAGAAGGTTTGACCTTTAGTGTAACATTTTCAAATGGGTCATTATGAACATAGGCTTTTCTAGGCCAAAAAAAAAAAAAAAAAGAAGGGAGGGGTTTTTTTTGTTTTGTTTTTCTTTTCTTTCTTTTTTTTTGAAAGAACAAAAGGACTCTGGGATTCTTTTAGACCTAACAATTGGTTAGAAACCTAGAAAATTTGGAAGATGAGTAAGCATAGTGTCTTCAGACAGTTCTGTTTGAACTCTATCACTACTGGTACTGGTATGACTCAGGCAGACTATTTTATTACCCTAAACTTCAGTTCCTCCATCCACAACATAGAAATACTAATGCATATTTTGTGAGATGGCTGTCAGGATAAATTTGCAGAAAGTGTAAATTAATCTTCATCTACAGAGCAAGTCAATAAATGTTAGGTCCTTTCACATCCTCTTAGAGATGAGGGTTTGTTTTTGGTTTTTCTTTTTTCCATTACTAACCTATTTCTAACCTACCTTCTTTTGTTTTATTTTATTTTATTTTTTTACCCTTACTTCCTCTTTCTCTGTGTTTGTTTTCACTAGGGTCTGCATGCTGGGTAACCGTACCCTTTCATCAAGACACATTGATATTTGCTCTAAGACCAAGGAAATTAACAACATGACAGTACCGTCAAAGTTATGGGGCTTCTTCTGTAACTCAAGTCAGTTTTTCAATGCCACCTGTGACGAATACTTTATTCACAATAATGTCACTTCAATCCAGGGCATTCCTGGATTGGCTAGTGGTGTCATTACAGGTAAGTCAGGAGGTTTTGAACAAGTTTTTAATTTGTTCAGGAAAGCAGGCTTTTCCATTGTAGACTCTTCTGTTGTCCATGTCTCACTGCCACACCATCGCTTCCCTCCTCAAGCTCAGCACACCACTCTTAATTCAACATCTTTCTGCTTTTCTTTTAGTGAACTTACCCTTTTTCAGACTCCCTTGTGGCGCTTTCTGCTAAAATATCCCTCTTTTGGGGGCACCTGAGTGGCTCAGTTGGTTGAGCATTGGCCTTCAGTTCAGCTCATGATCCCAGGGTCCTGGAATCAAGTCCCTTGTTGGGTCCCCTGCTCAGCAGGGAGTCTGCTTCTCCTCCCTCTGCTGCTCTCCCTGTTCTCTCTCTTTCTCTCAAACAAATAAATAAAATATTTTTTAAAAATAAAATAAAATTTCCCTCTTTTTGAGAACAGAGCTAAGCAAATCCTTTTTGAGTAGGATAAAATAATACAATACCCTGTGTGTTACTGTAAAATGGCCAGTGTTCTTCTCACAGTAACAACCAGATGGAGCTTTCAGTGTCACCACAGCCACATGTGCTGTTTTCCTCACTCAGCCCAATTTCTGAAACTCTTGCCTTAAGTGACTTATTTGGTCCACAAATATCTTTGCATGTAAGCAACTTTACACTAAGGTGTTAAAAATAGCATTGATTACTAATTTTAAAAAAGCCGCTGAGCATTCATCTTTAGTCCACCTAACTTCTACTAATTTGCATTTGTGTATTTAATTGCATTTGTATGTAACAAAGCACTTTGTCAAATACATTTGAATCAGATGAGAAAGAACCGTAGGTTTTTATTTATGTGTTCTTTATTATATGATATATATGTGCTCATGTAGAAGCAAACATACCTTTAAAAACTATATAAATGAGGAATCTGATTTAGAATATTGTTTAGGTAGAAAATTACCTAATTATCTTCTTTCCATACTTCTGTTGCTTATATACCTTTTTCTTACCACTGCAGAGAATCTTTGGAGTAATTACCTACCGAAGGGAGAGATAATTGAAAAGCCGTCAGCCAAATCTTCTGATGTCTTAGGCAGTTTAAACCATGAATACGTCCTTGTTGACATCACCACATCTTTTACTCTTCTGGTGGGGATCTTCTTTCCCTCTGTCACAGGTAAGCAAAAGAGCTGTTGTCTATTTCAGAAGTTAGGAGACCCAGGGAGTGATTTTTCTTAGGAGACAGAATTATCTTCTCCAGCTTCTTAATTGCTTCCAGTCTTTGGTATCAACACGAATATCAAAGTGTCCAGGAACTAAGAAGTTAACTTGTTCTTTTTTCCTCCTCTAAAGGTATCATGGCTGGATCAAACAGATCTGGGGATCTGAAGGATGCTCAAAAGTCTATTCCCATTGGCACTATCCTCGCCATCCTGACCACCTCCTTTGTCTGTATCCTTTTCATGGATCTAGGCTGAGTTTTAGTCATAGGCACATCTGTGGAATGAGGCTGATCAATACTTTCATCTTACCAGCTCACTTCTCACTGGATAATCTACCCACCTCAGCTCTAAAATTCAAGGAAGAATTGACAACATTAGTGAATTTAGTACCTCATTTTACTGATAGAAGAAATATCCTGAGTGTTTACTTTTTATCTCAGAGTGTTGGAGGTCACCTTCCTTGACTCTCAGTATGGTAGATTTAAGCAATGTTGTCCTTTTTGGTGCCTGTATTGAAGGTGTTGTTCTTAGAGACAAGTAAGTAGTTGATCTCTTTGTAACATTTATGTGTCTGTCTTCCATTTTATCTGATCATTCCACTTTGCCCCATGACAATCATAAACTCGAAACCCAACCTGAGGTATAGATCATGACTAACAATTAGGAAATATATGTATATAGTTCCCAAAATGTTAGTGAATAATAAGTACCAGTTATATTGTTATAAATATGTGAGATGCAATGAATATAGCATTTCAATAAAGTAGTGAATTTGTCTGCATCACAAGGGCTTCCCTGCACATGAAGAGCTGTTGGAAAACTGAAACCAAAAGTGAAGGAGAGCAAGTTAAACAAAACAAAAACTTCTAAGTGTCTCTAGCATCTCCTCTATGAAACATAATAAGTATGTATCTGTTTAGCATTCTAAATACAGTCTTGAAAATTTCTTCATTCCATTCATGAAGGTTGCTGAGTGTTTTTCCTTTCCTTTCCTCTATGAGCAAAAAATATGTTTTTGTAAGAGATTCCTAGAAAAATCTTTCCCCTAACCCTGCTACAGCTCTTCCCATTTTCCCTATCTGGGGGAGTTAACTAGCCTCACAATTCACCTTCTTAAAACAGAAACATGGGTGCCATCCTAGACTTTTTCCACCAGGTCCCTCATCCAGTTAGTTTCTAAGTCCTGTGAAGTCCACCTTTCATCTCAGTAGATCTCTTCCTTTCCACTATTCTTTACCCCCGTCCCCTTTCCCAGGCCTCTGGGATCTTCTGTCTAGATTATTGTAATTATCTCCCTTTAAATATTACCATCTTCAATCCTTCTTTCCTGTTGCCACTAGATTTTTCTACAACACAAAATTAGATCATACAAACCTTCCTGCTTTACAGCCTGCCAAAAGCCCCTTGAAACCCATCATTTCGATCTGGCCCTGTGTACCATTTTCTGATGTCCTCTCCTAGCATTCCCTTGTAAACTCCCTGGGCTCCAGCCATAACCTGATGCTAAATACTCAGCCACACATTTGTTTGCGCAGTTTCCTTTGCTTAGAACAGTTAATTCCCTCCTAGCAGACACATCGATCCTCTAAGATTAGACTGAGTGTCTTCTGTCCCGTGAATCTTTCTCACACTCACCCAGCAGAGGTAACCATACACCCCTTCTTATTCAGCCACTACAGTATTGCATATACCATATACATCGTAGCTTTTCATATCACTCTTTCTGACTCAATGGAGTTCTTTTAGGACAGAAATCCCAGTAGATGCTGTATATGCATATTGTTGACAAAAAAGAATAAGTAGCACAGTTTACTATTACTGTACTATTGTCACTGAAAATATATGGGTGTATGAGCTTTGGTAAATTACTCCATAATATAAAAAGTACTGAAAATGTAAGCTGGAATATCCCTTTAAAAAACTGTTGGTCATTATTGGGGCGCCTGGGTGGCTCAGTTGGTTAAGCCACTGCCTTCAGCTCAGGTCATGATCCCAGGGTCCTGGCATCGAGCCCCACATGGGGCTCCCTGCTTAGCAGGAAGCCTGTTTCTCCCTCTATCACTCCCTCTGCTTGTGTTTCCTTTCTCACTGTGTCTCTCTGTTAAATAAATAAATAAAAACTTAAAAAAAAAAAAAAAGAAAAAGAAAAACTGTTGGTCGTTATCTTCTAAAGTTGAACATACACATACCTTAAGACTGAGAAGAAATGCATGCACACGTGCATTAAGAATCATGGATAAGAATTCTCACAGCACTATTATCATTAATAGTCAAAATCTGGAAATAGTTAAAATGTTCCTCAGTAGTAGAATGGATAAATTATGTATTCATAATGGAAATGGAGTGGAAAACCATAGAGCAATGAAAAATAAATGAACCACAGCTATACACAAAGAAAATAGGATGAATTTCACAATGTTGAGTGAAAGAAACAAAAGACATATACCTTATTTCATTTATTGAAAATTTAAAAACAGGTAAAATGACATAGTATTAAAAGGACAGTGGTTGGGGGGACAAAAGGGCTAGTGTTGGCCAGTAGGCATAAGAGCAACTTTTGGGTGCTGGCAGTGTTCTGTTCCTTGACTAGATAGTAGCTGCATGGATGTTTTGTGAAAATTTATTGAAGTGTACATTTTTTTTGTACATTACTTTTTGTGTGTCATACTTAATAAAAGATGGTTAAAACCATAAATAAATAATGAGATCACATGAACCCATCAAATTAGGACTGACTTTTAAAATTTTAATACTCAAGGCTGGTGTGAAATAGGTATGTACTATAAAACTTAAACCTTCATATACTTCCAGTGGAAATAAAATGTATTATATAACCTTTCTGGAAATCACTACCATTTTGGTAGTGATTTTGAAGTATTTTAGATATTGATCCCTTTTACTGCAGTTATTCCCTCTTAGGAATCTGCCATAAGGGAACAAATCTGGGATGTGTGAATGTAGATATGTGCATAAAGATGTTAGTCACATTATTTTCCATAGTGTAAAATCAACACTAGAGAAATGGATTATGTAAATTATGATACAATATTGTTAAAACCACTAAAATTTTTATTCCTGAAAAGTTTTTCATGACATAGGAAAATGTAAGTTAAAAATGTGGAATTACAGGGGCGCCTGGGTGGCTCAGTGGGTTAAAGCCTCTGCCTTCGGCTCAGGTCATGATCCCAGGTCCTGGGATTGAGCCCCGCGTCGGGCTCTCTGCTCAGCAGAGAGTCTGCTTCCTCCTATCTCTCTCTGCCTGCTTCTCTGCCTACTTGTGATCTCTGTCAAATAAATAAAATCTTTAAAAAAAAATGTGGAATTACAGGTGTACTGTGATCTCATCTGTATTTTTAAAAACAGTGAACAGATTCAAATGTGAAAGTATACTAAATATTACCAGTTATGTTGTGATTATGGATTTCTATCTGGTTTTTATATTTTTTGTATTTTCCAATTTTTTTTGCAAAGAGCACAGATATTTTGATATTTTGGGGGGGAAGCTATAATTGAAGTTTAGCTTTATTTTCTGGGTCTACAGGTTATTTTTTCTTGATATAAATCAAATCTGCCTACCTTTACATTTCTTAATACGTAATGTCTGTCTCAATTTTAATTCTCTAAAAAATTATTAGCAGAAAAAATTAGGTGAATGTCTCTCTAGTCTTTCAGTATAAATTTCCATACTCTCATTTCTTATGCAGGTTTGGGGATGCTGTGAAAGGTAATCTGGTGGTGGGTACCTTATCTTGGCCTTCCCCATGGGTGATTGTTATTGGCTCCTTCTTCTCCACGTGTGGGGCTGGACTTCAGAGTCTCACAGGTGCACCAAGGCTGCTACAGGCAATAGCCAAGGATAACATCATACCCTTTCTGAGGGTGAGTGTCCCTTTCCCATACCCTATTTCCTTTTTGTCAGATTTTATGAGAAACTGTGTGGGTCTTCATAGGCTTAGGAATTACTAGATCATACAATGTGAAGACGAGGGTTTTTTGTACAAAACCTTCTAAGTCGCTATGGGGGATGAGTTTATATGTGAGTAGGGTAAAGTTATTTAAAAGATACCACAGTTGTTAACACTATTATCCGTCATATATCTGAAACTGTAGCATAGAGGAATCAGGGAACATTGACTCAGACATTCCCCACCACCTGTGTCTGATATTTCCCTTCTCTGTACAGGTTTTTGGTCACAGCAAAGCCAACGGGGAACCTACCTGGGCTTTACTTCTAACTGCTGCCATTGCAGAGCTGGGGATTCTTATCGCCTCCCTGGATCTTGTGGCCCCAATTCTTTCTATGTAAGTTCTTCTCTTTGTTTTTTCTTGCTTATATGATGTGTAGTACATGTTGATTTCCATCAGGCATATAACAGTAGTGAGAAAAGAGTGAGCCAAGTACAGGTGTGACTTCATCTAAATAATATATATTCCTAAGAACTTCAAGGCTAACTTTTATAAATCATCATGGTTTCTTCCTACCTGTATAACTTCAAAAGTTCTTTGCCTTCATTTTTTATTCATTATCAGCTGGTTGTAGCTTTTACTGCTGCTGTTAACTTTGATCCTTCAGCTGTGACTTAGTAATGACTTAATACCTGCCTGGCACTGGGCAGCATGCTAGGAATACAAAGATGAATGACAGAACCCTAAGGAACTGATGAGAGAGAGAGAGACCAGTAATCCTGTGTAGTGGGATGAGAACTATGGTAAAGGTGAACACTGCTGTAAGAGCTCAAAAGGGACTGAGATTCAAGAAAGGTTTTCTAGGGAAGGAGACACTTGCATCTTGAAAAAGGACTGGTTATTTACTAAGCAACGAAAGAGTGAGATGTTCCAGACGCAGAATGTGTGTAAAGGAATTGGGAATGAAACCGCATAGCACATCTGAGAATTCAAAGTAGTTTGGCTTGGATAGAATGGAGTGTGATTGTTCAGAGTAGCTGAGCAGAGAAGCAGGTAGAGCCAGGTCACAAAAGACCTGGAACTTTTACCTGGAGGTTGTGAGTGATCCTTTGAGATCATGTTTATGTTTTAGAATGATCAGTTTGGTATAAAAGACAAGTGAGAAGGAGGCTGAAATTGGGCTGAGAATGCCACCCATAAGCTTATTTAATCCAGCAAGGAAGAAATGAGATCCTGAACTAAGGTGATAGCAGTAGAGATGGAAGGGAGGGGAAAGGTTTTAAAATGTGTAAATAGGTAGAATCCATAGGACTTGATAAGTTAATTTGGAACAAAGATGAGTAACAAAGAGTAAACTTGGATTATCCCAAAAACAACTGAGTAAAGAGTGGATGTGTCTTTCACTGTGAGAGAACACAGAAAAATGAGCAAGTCCGTGGGGAGAAGTTAAATTTCTCTACATCCTAGTCTTAATCAAAGGCTGTAGTGAGCTAGAACAGAGGCTTAAAAAACAACAAAGGTCTCTATTTACAATAACCCTTGGAGAATCATTTTACAATAATAATCATGCCTTTTACTATTTTTATTCTGCCAGGTTTTTCCTTATGTGTTACCTCTTTGTGAATTTGGCATGTGCATTACAAACATTACTTCGAACACCTAACTGGAGACCCCGGTTCCGCTACTACCACTGGTAAGTCTGTTCTTTTTCTTTTTCTTCCCCACGTTTGGAGAGAACCTGTCATGAACTAGAAAAGTAGGAGATTCTGGGTTGGTTAATAAAATTTTTCTTGGCCAGCCATCCTGTACTTCCTGTTTCAGCTTCAGTGATCACCTGAATTTCTATCATATTACCATGTTTTTTCATAGTTCAGTTTATAATTTATAACACCTACTTGAGAATAAAGACCGAAACTATGAAATATGTATTTCCAGCCTGCTGCATTCTTCAGGTTAAACCAGCCTACCCTTCGCATTATTTGTTTTCCCATTTCCTTCTTAGCTAAGCACTGGACTTCACCCCTTTCTGTCTTCATTCTTATTTTCTCATCAGTTTTCATTCTCAAACTCTCTTCCTTATGAGGTTCATTTAGCAGGTAAGAGTATGAGCTGTGGAGTCAGATGACCTTAGCTCAGTGTCAGCTCTACTATTCCCTAGCTTTGTAGCTTTTAACAAAACACATAACTATATCAAATTTAATTTTATCATCCTGCTACATAGTAAAGCTCACAGTGAAATGTTGCTACAGCTGCTGCCTTCACATCACCACTAAGGGAGTCATCCCGCTTTTAGCTGCCATCCCATCTCCTCCTCATTTCCTTCCTGTCATAGCTAAAGGTTCTTTAATATGTCCTGTGTGCACCTGTTGCTACATTCCTCTGTGCTGCCTTCCTCCTTGACCCTTTCCTGACTTCACTCACCAGTGGTAGGCACTAGTGTGACCTTTATGTGGCAAAAATTTAAATCCTCACTAATATTATCACCTCTAATCCTCCTTCTAGCTTTAACCTTAATTAAATGTTCACTATGAACTTTGTTGCATTACTGTTTTGCTTTGTTAGCTTTTCCCTTTATCTTTCTCCTATGTTTTTATTAGAGATAATTTTCTCCATATTAACAACTCTCCTGTTCACTCTTTCATTCATCATAGAGCTAAGAAGTTCATTCTGTACACAGAAGAACTTCAGTAAGCATGGTTGTCTACTTAATCTATTTGATCAAAACAGGCATTTCATCATTCTCTGCCAAGTTTCTTTCTCTCCTTTTTTTAGAGGGAGACAGTGAGAGAGAGCGAGCCACCACATGTGGGGGGGGCAAAGGGAGAGAGAGACTTTTTATTTATTGATTTGACAGAGCAAGAGAGCACAAGCAGGGGGATTGGGAGAGGGAGAGGGAGAAACAGGCTTCCTGATGAGCAGGGAACCTGATGTGGGGCTCAGTCCCAGGACCCTGAGATCAGGACCTGAGCTAAAGGCAGACACTTAACCGATTGAGCCACCTGGGCACTCCGAGAAAGAGAATCTTAAGCAAACTCCACACTCAGCACTGAGCCCAATGCATAGCTCTATCCCAGGACCCTGAGTGCATGACTTGAGCCAAAATCAAGAGTTGGACACTTAACCCACAACCTACTCGGGCACCTCTCTGCCAAGATTCTCTTATGTAAAGTAAGAAAACTAATGGCAGATTTTCTTTAGTGGGTTCTGCATGATGCTAAGGAATGTTCATAAGGTTTTAAGCAATATTTACATGAGATACTTCTTTTTAAAAGACCATGTTCAGGGGCGCCTGGGTGACTCAGTGGGTTAATAAAGCCTCTGCCTTCGTGGCTCAGGTCATGACCCTGGGGTCCTGGGATTGAGCCCCGCATCAGGCTCTTTGCATAGCAGGGAGCCTGCTTCCCTTCCTTTCTCTCTGCCTGCCTCTCTGCCTACTTGTAATCTCTGTCAAATAAATGAATAAATACTTTAAAAAAAAAGATCATGTTAATAACTCTATGTGCCCCATTCTTGCTTTGCTAAGTAGGTATTTATTATCCTCACACCTACAGATAACTTTCATTACAACCTGTTCATTTATGTATTTTTCCAGCAGTGGGAAACATCAGCACAAAAGATGGTTCGGGCCTCGGTGCAGATTTGCTGACTATCGCAGTCCAGGATAAGATAACTATAATAATTGAGAAAAATCATTTTGAAACTTTTATAGCAATTTAATATTCTCACAGCATCCGGGCATATAGTAATTTTTCTAATAATTCATTTTTATTGCATTTTATAAAAGTTCAGTGTGCAGTATATTGGAATTAAAAAGATAATAACAATCCTTCACCAGTTTGAGAAGCACCTCTAGCACAGGCTTCTTTTTCAGCTGCTTAGATAAACATTTTCTTGTTTGTGTTTTGGTTTTTAATTTTCTAGGGCCCTCTCTTTCATGGGAATGAGTATCTGTCTGGCTCTGATGTTCATTTCTTCCTGGTATTATGCCATTGTAGCTATGGTAATAGCTGGTATGATCTACAAGTACATCGAGTACCAAGGGTGAGTCTGTGGATTTGACCTTGATTACTGCTACAGGTATCAAAATGGACTAGTTTGGTAGAGCCAGCTTAATGAAAATTGCATTAAGGATCCAGACAGCCTCATTTAACTGCAACTAAACTCTATAACCCCAAATTCTTTTAGCCATCTTACAGACACAAACTACAGAATCAATAGGGGAACCCATTGAGAAAGTATGAACAGATCAATTTAAAAAGTTGCTAAAAGGACATGTCAAAATAATGATATTAAAGTCTAACACAAATATAAGTATTTTTGCTTCTCTCTTCAGTTAAGGTATAATCTCTGAAATGAAAAAGAAATCAATACTGAGTAACTTCATAACAACTAAGACTACAGAAAAAACTTAAAAAATGAGGAATAAATAACACTGGTTCAGAAGATTACATTGAATTTTGCTTTCTCCCCATTATTTTCAAAATTAAATTAATCTTTGGGTCTGTTGTAATTTCCTTCTCCAAATTGCTATTTTACATCATTGCTTTTGAACAGTTACATAGAGGAATGAGCGAGTGATCCTTCCAGCCTTTGTTTTGAATTGTTTATTGTACAGTGTGGTCCACTGATGAAGAGCAATACGGATCTGCTTTTCGTGGGTTCATTATGTTAAGAGCATTATATTAATAATTAATATGAGTTTTAATTTTCTACTGCATGCATATGTTAGTTTTAGAAAGAAAAATAAAACCTTGTTTTGAAATTGTACTTGCTATAGTTGATACTTGTCTCTGCCTTTTTCTCTTTTTTCTCCCAGAGCGGAGAAAGAGTGGGGTGATGGAATCCGTGGGCTGTCCCTCAGTGCAGCCCGGTTCGCTTTGCTCCGGCTAGAAGAAGGACCACCACACACTAAAAACTGGAGGTAAAGAAATCAATAGAGCTTAGTGCTATGGTGTTTGGCACATGGTTAACACCCAGAACTGTGTGCTTCAGTGATTATAGGATAAGGAATTCAGGTGGCTCAAAGAAATGGTGTAAAGGACCTGTTTTGAATGATTCCAAATCCTTCATACTTTATTCTCCTTGCTTCATGGGGTATCTAATCTAGACTTCTGCCATTTTTTTGTTCCTTGAAGAATGGTCAATCTGTGGTAATACTGGGAGGATTCAAATAAACTACAACCTCATCCTATTGTTTCCTCTAATCTCTTCCTTCTTCCCATTTACATGTTTTATTTAGATCTCCTGAATTAAAGGGTAGAATTTATCATTCTGTTCCCCAAACCCAAAGTGTTTTTTCCCTCCCATTCTCCCACCAACCTCTTTACAGGCCTCAGTTACTTGTATTGCTGAAATTAGATGAAGACTTACATGTCAAGCATCCTCGCCTCCTCACCTTTGCCTCACAACTTAAAGCAGGAAAGGGTCTCACTATTGTGGGCTCTGTCATTGTGGGGAACTTCCTGGAGAACTACGGGGAAGCTTTAGCTGCTGAGCAGGTGAGAGTCAAGGCTTATTGACTTAGTAGAATTTAGCTTATGATTTTGTGATGTTAAGTTGTCAGACATCATATTTCTCAGTTAATCGCTTTTCTGCATGTTCTGGGAGGTTTCCTTCTTAGTGCTAACTTTTGAACAATCATCGTCTCCCAAATAATAAGATGAACCAGAAGATAATAATTTATGTTTTCCATTTAAAAAGAGTTACTAAACTTTCAAGATTGTCAAGGCTAAGCACTGTTTCCAAATAGACTCTAAACGTTGACTCGGGCCTCAGAGAAGTCATGTAAATAAATCTATCCTTTGAACTGTGGAGATGGTTCTGCTCATTCTGATGACAAGGGGCCATGAACAACTTTCCTTTCTCCTTACCAGCCTACACTGGTGTCATGACCAAGGTTGCTTTACTTTTGATTAACTTGCCAAGTGTAAGTTCTCCTAAAGAAGAAAGCAGTTTTGACTCTAATACTTATTTTAATGATAAAACCAACCCTGCTGTTCAGAGAAACGTACAATTACCTTTCAAAAATTTTACTGGATTTCATTTTGGAATACTTTGAAACCCTAAAAACTAGAAATGCTTGAAGAAACATTAGTCTGGAATGATGGTAAAAATAAATAAAAAGCACAGGGTTGGAAATCAATAAACCTTGCTTATTACCCTTGCTACACCACTGACTTAATCTCTGCCTTCAGGAAAATCCTGTCTGTCTTCTACACCATTATTCCCTTCGTCTTTCCACTAAGAGAGTGGAGTAAGAATAAATGAAATATTATCTCAAATTGGCTTCAATAAATAATAGCAAAGCAAAGACAATGGTCATCAGTAATCACCATTAAAATATCAAAACAGATGGAAATAGGAGAAATGAAAAAACATACCTGAGAAAATTCTTAAGTGAAACTGAATTTGAGTTTCTAATAGTATGAGTCAGGGCATCAGGGTGATTGAGGAAGGAAGCAGATCATGTTCACACTCCTCCTGGTGAGTTAAGAAAGAATATTGAATATTCGTTTTATGAAGATCCCTGTTCTTGATTTGTTTGGTATGTTACAGAGGAAAAGGCGGAAGAACTCTATGTGGTCAACCAGCACTATATGTAGTAAGCACTTAGAGAGTGAAAAAGGGTGAAGCAATTCAGCATTGAGATTCTCTTTTTCAGACTATAAAGCATCTAATGGAGGCAGAGAAGGTGAAAGGGTTCTGCCAGCTGGTGGTGGCCGCCAAGCTGAGGGAGGGCATTTCCCACCTTATCCAGTCATGTGGCCTTGGAGGCATGAAGCACAACACGGTGGTGATGGGATGGCCTAATGGTTGGCGCCAGAGTGAAGATGCCCGAGCATGGAAGACTTTTATTGGTACAGAACACTTTTCATTTTATCCAGAGGGCCCAAATAAGGGATACAGTCAAACCTCTGTTGCCTTAGTCCCACCCCATAGCCTCCAAAGTAGAGACTGTGCCATTGCTGAAGCATAGTCCTATAAGGGCGCCTAAATAACTACTAACAATAATAACCTTATTCTCCTCACCCCCTCCAGCTTTATATTATGTTCATGAATTGTTTATCTCTGTCAAGTATCATGCTAGGAATTTTCTCTGAAATTGCCCAGTTTTCATTTATGATCTGCCACATTGACATTCTCACAGGAATTGGAAGGATTGTCTTTCAACAAAATCTCCAGAATTCACATAACCACCCCCCTTAGAAATGTAGTGATCGGAATTTAGTAATGTAAATCATGGTTCCGAATCTAATTCTGTTAGTTATTCAGATTTTTCTTAATGATTGTTGTTACCCGATCAGGTATAACCCACTATGTAAACAGAACACTTTGCTTAAAGAAATGTAAAAAACAACAACCAAAAAAAAAAAAAAATAAAACCAAACCAAAACAAACAAAAAAACGCAACCAACCCAAAACCATTATCCTTGCTTTCCTGACATGGTAGGAAGCAAGGCAAGCGTGAAGAGTCTTCTCTGTTTGTCCTGATTCTGTTTTCTCCCTAGGCACAGTTCGAGTGACAACTGCTGCCCATCTGGCCCTGCTGGTGGCTAAAAACATCTCCTTCTTTCCCAGCAATGTGGAGCAGTTTTCTGAGGGCAACATTGATGTGTGGTGGATTGTGCATGATGGGGGCATGCTCATGTTATTACCTTTCCTACTCAAACAGCACAAGGTACGTTAGATACGTTTGGAAAAAAAAAAAAAGTCTTTCTCCCTTAATATCTGTCCTGGTTCACTAGGCAGACCCTTTCTCTTTGATTATAGTGTTGGGGCTTAGGATCAGAGGAGCTGCGGATTTTTCTTAGCATTCCCATGGTCCTAGTTCCAACTGTATGAGAAGTAGTCTTTTTTCTATTTGATACCTATCTCCAAGTTAAACAGCAAATTAATAAAGTTCCATATGAGCTCTTGGAGAAACATTGACAAGTGAAAACACATCCATTTAAAAGAAAAAAAGACCAAAGTCTCTCAAATACTGGAAATCTCTGTTCGTATGTTTGTGTATCTTATACATATGCATGCTCATCCTTTGGTAAGACTAGTTAAGCTGAACTTTAAAATTTAACTTTAAAAGTTAAAATAGTAACTTTTAGAGTCTGCATGGGGCCATCAATATGCTATCCAAATACAGCACCCTCCTAATATATTCTGTATCCCCTTTTGCTGGTTTTCTTCTTGTTAGGAAATTAAGAACTTCTTGAAGTTGTTTTTAATGTGTTTCTTAGTCAAGCTTTTGCTCTCATACAACAGTATATCCAGTTAGAAGCTAAAAACAAATATCCTGATACTACAGCAAGGTTGTCCAAAGCAAAAAATGTTTTGTGTTTAAGGAATAACTCCTTATTGTGGGGGGGGGGTGGCCTTCTTGCATTTAACTTGCCATGTATGTATGGTACTTTCTCAGGTGTGGCGAAAATGTAGCATACGGATCTTCACAGTAGCCCAACTAGAAGACAACAGTATTCAGATGAAGAAGGACCTGGCTACCTTCCTCTACCACTTACGCATTGAAGCAGAGGTGGAAGTGGTGGAGATGGTGAGAAAGCTGAGTTTGAGATCAAACAGACCACCCTTCCCCCATTTCCTACCCTGTCTTCCTAGAACTTTTTCTGGTTTGGGAAATTGTTCAGCTGCAAATGTGGATTAATCCCTTAGTTCTGACAGAGCCCTAATACACTGATCTAGATAAGTAGAATATGTATGTTTTGTGTATTTGGTATTGTTTTTTTAATTTTTGCTTTCTTATTTGTTGTACAGCCTTTATATTTCTCCCAGATTCTTGTCTGCTCAGTATGGTTTTATTAAGTTTTAATTCATATATGCATGTTAAAATCACACATAGCTTTTTAAAAATAACCTGGCAGTATTTAAAAAAAAGACTAGAGTTTGTATTTTTGTATCAAGGAAATATATATGTAATGGTTAGATTATGGAAAGGAATGTCAGTGCTTCTAGGTTTGATAGTCCATAATATTATATAACTCAGTAACTTAACAAAATAGGGGTGTAACTTAGGTTGATATTGTGGTACTTTCTCTGGCTTAATTTAGCAAATGGAAATGAAAGTGAGTGGTTCAGTTCTCTTTCTCCTTTGTGCTTGTTGCCCACTCTCTGCGTTGTCTATGGCAGCATGACAGTGACATATCTGCTTACACTTATGAACGCACCCTGATGATGGAGCAAAGGTCCCAGATGCTCCGGCACATGCGACTGTCCAAAACAGAGCGAGACAGAGAGGTGAGACCTTCCTGCGTTCACTGAATCCTAGTCTGTCACTGAAAGGGTTGATACTGTATTATTCTCATAGAATGACACATTCTTTCCATCTCACTTTATCAGTTCTTCCACTATAACCACATTATTGTTTGAAAATAATTGAAGCTGAAGCATGAGAGGAAACTGGGTATAGAGGTCATAGCTGTGTTGGCCCCTCTTCAGGCACAGTTGGTGAAGGACCGGAACTCAATGCTACGATTGACCAGCATTGGCTCTGATGAGGATGAAGAGACAGAGACCTACCAGGAGAAGGTGCACATGACTTGGACAAAAGACAAGTACATGGCATACCGAGGACAAAAGGCTAAGTCGATGGAAGGATTCCAGGACCTGCTTAACATGCGTCCGTAAGTTTTCCAACACACAATCTTATCACATAAGACAGTATCCTAGTCAGTGGCACACATGTGACTTTGCCTGGATAGAGGATGAAGTCTCTTCTTCATTTTACCCCAAATCTAGCCATCTCTCTGTTATTTGCCTGTGCATATCAGCTACAAGTTAACATTGTCCATAAACTAAACACCCTTCTTTCTCACCATACTGTGTTCCTGGCATAAAACAAGCAAATGTAGAATGAGAAAACAAGGAAATTATTTGTTTATTACATTATTCATAGTCAAAGCAAAAAAGCTCTGCATCTCAACGTTTTTAAAACTGGCTATAGCCTAGCTTTCTCTTTGCCTTAACCACCCGATTCTCCCTTTCACCGGCCCAGGGACCATTCCAACGTGAGACGGATGCATACAGCAGTGAAACTCAATGAGGTTATAGTTAACAAGTCCCATGAAGCGAAGCTGGTTTTGTTGAATATGCCTGGGCCACCCCGAAACCCTGAAGGTGATGAAAACTGTATCCTTTCCAAGAGTGGAGCTACTGGTAGGGAAAGTCTTAGCCTGTTTCTTAGATGAGACCACTAGGTAACCTTAAGTCATTGTCTGTGCCCATGTTTCTGTCTCAAGGAGGGAAGGCTGTTAAAAGTCTTAGGTAAGGGTTCTTACACAGCAGTGAGATTGATCTTCTTTGGGGGAGTTGGGTATATATGTTCTCTCTGAACCCTAAAGAGAGTTTTTAGGTGGTAAATTTGCAAAATGACTTCTGATATTCACAGTATAGAACCCTTTCTGAAACAATCCTAGAGATGCAATACCCATGTCCTTTCTTCTTTTCAGGCTCCATCCATTTTGCAAAGCCCCTTTCTTATGGATATAGTTAGGAGAGAAGCAGTTTCAGTGAAATCTTCTCTGAGGGGGAAAAGAAGATAAGGGTTTTTCCTCATACCCTGATCGCAGGATTTTTTTTTAATGGGACCCCTTCAGAAATGCAATGGTATAGACTGGCCATTCCCATCAGTACCTTTAAGAAAAAGAGATTAAGAAAAAAAAAAAAAAAAGCACTGGCAGAAAAATCTGATTTGAGCTGCTTCGCTTAGAAATTACTTGGGTTCTCTCTAGCACCCTTATAAGCTGTCCCGTTGTGGCTTTTTCCTCTTTTTTGGCTTATTTTAATGTGGTACAAATGCATTACTTGTAAGTTTCCCCATTTGTAAAATAACATTTAGAAAAAAGTCTAACAAATGAAGGTCTTAGATTATATATGCAAAGGAATTCGATCTCTAGGTTATGTCACAGAGTTAAATTGAACCAGAATTCAGACATCTCCAACTCTGAGTATATAATTGTTAAAACAAGCATGTTAATTTTGCAGTTTTGAGTCAGATGAACCCTGATTATCATAATGTCAGGTTATAAAGTGTGATCTTCTCCCACCTGTTTGTCTCCTTGACCGATTCGGAAGACATGGAGTTCCTGGAAGTGCTCACCGAGGGACTAGAGCGAGTCCTCCTGGTCCGAGGTGGTGGCAGTGAAGTGATCACCATTTATTCATAATCTATTCCTGAAGACTCTGCTTGGCCTCACCTTTCCTAAAAGGCTTCCATTCTCCAATGGAAGTGCCAGCTCTTTACTACTACTCCCATCATGTAGAGGTCCGGGTTCTGTACACATCACACTGAACTCTTGACAAGCTGAGCCTCAAGTACTTTTGCAAAGAAGTACACGTAGTTCTGCTCTTCACTATCATATGATCTGCTGTCCTTACAGAAGAAGCAGATACTTCCTCAATATCAGAACACTGGTCAAGTCCTAAGCCATGTCTGGACTAGTTGAAGGCAAATTAGAATTAACAAGCTAAACCATTAAAATGAATTGGCAAAAGGGATGCTAGAAATTCAAGAAGACAAAAAGGAAAGTACATGTCCAGCATGGAAGGGGAATCTCAGAAGTCATGGTTCAGTGATGATACCATGGGGGTAACAGCCAGAGACACGGCTTCATCATATGAAAGAATTCATGACCAAGTATGTGGGGACCTAACATCCTTGTGGAGATAACCTGTGGCAATCCAAGATGAAAACCTTTTTTAGCTGATTTTCTTTAATGTATCCACCGCTCTCCAGGACTCTTCTTTTATATTAGGGTACTATACAAAAACTAAAACATGGCTACAGCCTCTGCTTCTTCCTCCAAAACAAGATTCCCCCAGAATATCAGGTTTAAGTATACATTCTGTGTCGGTTTATATGTCATCTGGTTCTCAAAACCCATTCTATGGTTAAGATGGTAATACAGGCATTGTTATCCTGGAAGTGGTTTTTTTAAAGGTAGGAGGAAAAAGAATTTCTTTCAGGTTCTTTTCAAATGGCTAAATTAAGGTTAACTCCAAATTAAGATCTGCTGAAACAATATGTGGTTACCTGTGTGACATGGTCAAAACATACAAACTGTTATCTAAAAAAATCTAGATGATGATACACATTGACCGATAGTTTCTCCTCTCCTTTCTTTTATGCCCTCCAGGTTAGTAGACACAGGTCCAAAATCATAGGAATAAACTATGAAGACTGGCTAAAATCCTTCTCTAAAAGCTTTGGACTTTTGACTGTCTTTTAAAGGGGGAACCCAGCAATGGAATTCAAAGTTCTAGAGCCATACTCCTTCCATAGTGCCAAAGATTGAGCTGCTACTACTCTTCCTACCTGCTTCACTAAAGTGGCATAAGATTGGCATTGATCTGGTTCAAGAAACTTACTTTTAACTCAGAAACCTATGGACTCATTTCCAAAGCCATAGCAAAGATTTGAGGCACTCAACTCACCTAAACGCCCAGAGTATAAGCGTTTTTCTTTTATCGATTTCATTCTTCATTGTGACTGCAGGAACTTGGCTCTGAACTAAGATGATCCAAGCCAACAGTCCTCTTCTATTCCAGTTATTTTCAGAAAGCTCTCTGTGTCAAGGAAGCACTTGTACAAGCTTAGCTTTTTATTTGCTCTTCATAAAACATTTATTGGTCATTTTAATTTACTGGTCATAAAACTCCTAGCTTTCAAGCATAGGGAAACTACCTTGAGAGGTAATTGCAAATATGTGTGAAATGTTCCTTTCTTTTATAGGATAAGTATTTAGAAAAACTATTTTGCCTGTATTCATGACTGCTTTTGAATCACTTTTATTAATGGTAAATAGTGCCACTCTTTTTTGACCACCCAATAGAATATGGAGCAAGCAAACCTAGGTACCAGCAGATTATTCATTTGACTCTATTGGACAGAGAAAACCCTTCAGTATGGCTTAAGAAATTGAGTATTTTGTTCCCTTTGCTCTTTTTTCAACCTCAAGACTCAGTCGGGGTAGCAAAGCAAACACAATCTTTTAAGTACTTTTTCCTGCAGAGGGTAGAAGCGTTGTTTACAGTTTCCACTGTAATATTCTATAGCTTAGTTGAGTCCACAGTAGTGGAACAGGTTCTCTAGGATCCAAGATATTGAAGCCCCCATGCTTTAAAGGTAAGCCTGCCCAGGAATTCCTCTACATTTATACACATCCTCTGGCCAAAGTGGTTGATACGTACTTTTTTTTTTTTTCCAGATAGAAAAAACATGAGCAGAAAACAAGGTTAGTTTTAGAAGAGCTTTTTGTGGTTGGAGCTCTCTAAGAATCTTTTAAAGTTAGTGACTATTAATACAGCCACTGCTTCAGCCCCTAAAACATAAAATCACCTTTACATAGGAAAATGGTTATTAGGCCAGATTTAAACTCATCTCTGTCTAGAGCATTTCATGTCCGTGTGTTGCTTTTGTTGTTTGTCTGCAAAATGTCTTGTTTCTTCTAATCACTGCAAATAAAGCAATACTGAAAACTTGATAAGAGAGAATGCACCTTAGGAGAAGGGGCTTTTGTGTTTCAAGAAGGAAGAGAAAGGAAAGACCTCTTCCTGCCTTTTGAATAAGATCCAGCTTTTAAGTCTTAGCTAAAATTTCCCAGGGCAGGTTATAGCTATCCATCCTCCAGTTGCTGGCCCTCTGCCTTCTGAAGCTATCTTAAAAGCTGAAGTTTGAATTGCAGCATCTGCTCAACAGGTGCCCGGTTCCTCTTGGCAGGGGAAAGATCATTACCTTGTATCTTCCTTTGCCTCAGATTCTGTGGCCCCAACTAGCCCACCAATCCTCACTCCCCCTAAATGTGTTAAAAACCCCTTATTGTGGATATTAAAGTAGCAATTACACTGTAAGCATACTTATGTGCTCTTTTTGTCTGGTTTGTTTTTCTTTTCATCATGTATAATCTGAATCCAGCATTAGTTTCTCACATCTTCCACAAGTGTCTCCAACAGAATTTCTATGTCCCAGCTTGTGTTAAATAGAAGTGAAATACTAAGGAAAATAGACTTAAGGGAAACCTGTACAACTTTTTTTTTAAAGCATTGTTCTCAACCATTTAATTTATTGAAAGGAGATGCTGCTGTGGTTCTTGATTTAGCAGCAACCATTCTTTTGTTTACATAGAGTTACAGTTTTGTTGTTTTGCTCTGTATTGGAAACATAAATAAAGTTTTCTACATTATTTTCAGTCAAGGGTTGTGGTACAGTTTCTTTGTGTTTGGAGTGATACATACATTCTTTCTGGGATTCATCTCCTTACCATGGAGTAAAGAGAGCTTTGGGCTCCTTTCAGCATGAGTGATAATGTTAAGAGTTAGTATGCTGAGAAGGAGCCACTGGGCACAAAAAGAAGGTTGTAAATGAGATCCCGATACACAGGCACCAGGGGCTTCCTTCTCTTCACAGAAGCAGTCCTCCACCACTAAACTCCATCCTCTGAAACAAGAAAAGGTAAACAGGTGATTGGTGAATTGGTGTTGAACTAACTTATGGAACCAAGTACTTTATTTAATCACAGGCTCTATTTAGCCTTATCCTTAAAAAAAATTAACAACTTCCAAACTCCAAGGGATCTTATTTCTTAAGAAATAAGCTCTAGTACCAACTCAAACCCCCCATAATCAGATGGGTCTGCTATTTACATTACAGCTGCCCAAAATTTAACTTCTCCTTTGCCTTACCTCAGGGGGCTCAATGAAGGCTAACCAGTCTGATGCATGTGTAGGCAACAGTCCCATTGACTGGCACTTATAAACAGCCAATGCCAAACCCATGAGGTTTCCAATGAGATACACCAAACCCTGAAGAAACTTCTGGCTTGAACTTTCTAGCATCTTGAAAGCTGTTGGAGTAATAAAAAGTGTCAAAACCAAAACAACTTTTTTTTAATAGGACATACGTTAAAATAATAGAGATTAAAAATAATAGAGATCCAAAGTAAGATAGCAAATAGGACCATTAAAAGTGAACAAAAAGCCATGATAAGCTCCATTTCCCTCCACCATGCCACCACCTCTACCATCACCACCCTGCACACCCTCCCTCCTGGCAACTAGCCAAAAGCAATATGAAAGATTTTCATGGGTTTCACTAAAATTTGTCTTTAATTCTTAAAATTTAAGAAAGAGTTGTTGTATCAAGAATACTTACTGGCTGAAATGGCCATAAGTGCCTGAATGGGCCGCCAAGCCATCATACACACCATCATAGTGGGGAAGATGGAGATAGTATTGCCTGCCATGTACATGATGAAGAGATTCATGGGAATCTGCTTGAGGGGACCCAAGGCGATGTCCCAGCAGCGCTAAAACAAAACACAATTTTAACCTATGATCTCTATCTTCAGTCTCGCATTTAAATTTTTTATTAACATATAATGTATTATTTGCCCCAGAGGTACACGTCTGTCAATCATCAGGCTTACACATTTCACAGCACTCACCATAACACATAACCCTCCCCAGTGTCCATAACCCAGTCACCCTCTCCCTAACCTCCACCCCCCAAACAACCCTCAGTGTGTTTCGTGAGATTAACAGTCTTTTATGGTTTGTCTCCCTCCCAATCCTGTCTTGTTTCATTTTTTCCTTCCCTACCCCCCATCAGTCCCCTGCCCTGCCTCTCAAATTCCTCATATCAGAGAGATAGAAGATAATTGATTGTTCAGTCCCACATTTACTGATGTTAAAGTCAAATGAACACAATTCCCAATTCTGTGCTCTTGACTGAGCTGACTCCTCAGTTCCACCACCTCTGTCTGCCCTTCTCCATGTTGTCACAGGAAGCTTGTTCTTCTAAAAATAAGGCATCCTCACCATTTGTTGTATTTTTTCCTACTGGTTTTTCAGAAGCCATTTTTTCCCCATGATCTAGCTAAAAAAAAAAAAACAAAAAAACAAAAACAAAACTTCCCTACATTTGTTCTTCTGCTTCTGCATCTCTCCTTTCCCCATCTAAAACTGAAATAGTTAAATCCATAGGGTGGGAGATTAGCGCACCTCAATCAATAAAAGAACAAGCTGAGGGGCACCTGGGTGGTCAGTGGGTTGAGCCTCTGCCTCTACCTCAGGTCATGACCTCAGGGTCCTGGGATTGAGCCCCTCTTCAGGCTCTCTACTCAGCAGGGAGCCTGCTTCCCCCTCACTCTCTGCCTGCCTCTCTGCCTACTTGTGATCTCTCTCTGTCAAATAAATAAATAAAATCTTAAAAAAAAAAAAGCTGACAAATCAAGATATTAAGATCTAAATGACATTATTAACAAACTTAACTGACATATACAAAACATTGCATTTGGAAAATTCACATTCTTTTCAAACACACATGGGACATTTACAAAAGCTGACCACTTGCTGACCCTTGAAGAAAGTGTCAACTCAAAGAACCCAAATTATACAAAGCATGTTCTTTTCTTACACAATTAAGCTAAAATCAGTAACAAAAAGAAAACTGAAAATTCCCTACACATTAGAATTAACAAATGTTTTCTAAATAATCCATAAATAGGGGCGCCTGGGTGGCTCAGTGGGTTAGGCCGCTGCCTTCGGCTCAGGTCATGATCTCAGGGTCCTGGGATCAAGCCCCGCATCGGGCTCTCTGCTCAGCAGGGAGCCTGCTTCCTCCTCTCTCTCTGCCTGCCTCTCTGCCTGCTTGTGATCTCTCTCTGTCAAATAACTGAATGGAGTCTTTAAAAAAAATAATAATAATCCATAAATAAAAGAATAAATTACAATGGAAACCAGAAATACTGTTAACTGATAACAAAAAGCCACATATTAACATCTGTGGGACACAGAGCACTGAAAATTTTATAATAAATACATATTTAGAAGACTAAAAGTGTCTATTTCTTCCTTTTTGCAATTTTTGTAAGTTTAAAGTTCCAGTTAACATACAATGTAATATTAGTTTCATGTGTACAATATAATGACTCAACACTTCCATACAATGCTTAGTGCTCATCACAAGTGCCCTCCTTAATCATCACCTCTTTCACCCATCACCCACCCACCTCCCCTCTGGTAACCATCAGTTTGTTCTCTATAGTTAACAGTCTGTTTCTTGGTTTGGCCCTCTCTTTCTCTGTCGTCCCTCTTTGCTCATTTGTTTCTTAAATTTCATATATGAATGAAATCATATGGTATTTGTCTTTCTCTGACTGACTTAATTTACTTAGCTTTATACCCTTTAGCT